CATAGACAGAGAAGCCTGGCGGGCTACAAGTCTATAGGGTTGCAAAGAGTCAGACATCACTGAAGCGGCTGAGCACGCATGCACACACAGTTGGTAGGTTGTGGTAGAGCCATAAATACAAATAAATGTCACTGAGTCTTGTTTTATAGAACCACCACCATTAAGTTGAGCAACTTAAGGATTCCAGAAAATCAAAGTTCAGGAAGGCTAGTTCCATTTAGGGTTCTCCCACCCAGCCCCCAAACCAGGCCACTTTGTATTAGTTTCTCAATTAACTCCACTGATCACCTTATTTAACTGCCTCATGATCAGAAAAGAAGAAAAGGACCTGCCCAGCATCTCACCCCCAGGCCAGAACTGGGAGGGACTGTCATACACTTTCAAGATGTGAAAACCCAGGGCAATGTGTGGATCTTGTTTTGGTCCTGATTCAAACCAGCCAACTATTAAAAATAAAATAAAAACATCTTTGAGATAATAGGAAAAATTTGAGTACGAACTGGATATGAGAGGATATTATAAAATCACTGCTCAGGGTACTTCCCTGGTGAAAGTGAAAGTGCTAGTTGCACAGTTGTGTCTGACTCTGCGATCCCATGGACTAGCCCCCCAGGCTCCTCTGTCCATGGGATTCTCCAGGCAAGCATACTGGAGTGTGCTGCCATGCCCTCCTCCAGGGGATCTTCCTGACCCAGGGTCTCCTGCATTGCAAGCAGATTCTTTACCATCTGAGCCACCACTCTCATACAAAAACCGAATTTTTGACAAAGACACAAACATCATTCAGTGGAAGAAAGGTAATTTTTCCACAAAGGGTAACTGAATCAGTTACCTGACATCCTCAGGCAAAATAGTGAACTCAACCTAAACCTCAACCTCATAAAAAGTATATCCAAATAGGTCAAGGCCTAATCATCAAAAAGTCTACAAACAATAAATGCTGGAGAGGGTGTGGGGAAAAAGGAATGTTCTTGCACTGTTGGTGGGAATGTAAATTGATATAGCCACTATGGAAGACAGTATGGAGATGCCTTAAACAACAAGAAATAAAACCACCATATGACCAGCAATCCCACTCCTAGGCATACACCCTGAGGAAACCAAAATTGAAAAAGACACATGTATCCCATTGTTCATTGCAGCACTATGTACAATAGCTAGAACATGGAAGCAACCTACATGTCCATCGACAGATGAATGGATAAAGTTGTGGTGCATATACAGTGGAATATTATTCAGCCACTTAGTAATACAGAGTAAATATTACTCAGCCACTGAGTAAAAAGGAATGCGTCTGAGTCAGTTCTGATGAGGCAGATGAATCTAGAACCTATTACACAGAATGAAGCGAGTCAGAAAGACAAACATCATATTCTAATGCATATATACAGAATCTAGAAAAATGGTACTTAAGAATTTATTTACTACCAGCAGCTCTATGACAATAAAATGGATAACTTGGAAGAAATGGACAAATTCTTATAAAAGTATAACTTTCCAAAACTGAACCAGGAAGAAATAGAAGATCTTAACAGACCCATCACAAGCACGGAAATCGAAACTGTAATCAGAAATCTTCCAGCAAACAAAAGCCCAGGACCAGATGGCTTCACAGCTGAATTCTACCAAAAATTTAGAGAAGAGCTAACACCTATCTTACTCAAACTCTTCCAGAAAATTGCAGAAGAAGGTAAACTTCCAAACTCATTCTATGAGGC